ACTTCGAAGTCTTCATCATCTTTGAGAAGAAGATTCGTTTCCCATGCTAAAAACGACTGGCTTTGTCTGACCAACGAATATTCTGGTGAGACCAACGAAGAGATTTCTTTTGCAAAGTCAATTTTCAAGGTCAAGATCAAGAGAGAAAGAGCCAAGCTAGAGTCAATATCAATCTTTTCAAAGGTGAATCAATCATTGAATCAGAGTGTTATCATTAAAAGAGGTTGAATCGATTGTGTGAGTCGGTCAGTTGTCCCACATACTTACACTACACCATTGGGAACGATCAACATTTACAAGATCCAAGTCTTCCATTAGCCAATTTCACAACTACAGAATAACCTTCGAATAGCGACAAATCTCGTAGTTCAAACTTACAACAACTGGAAGTTGCAGTCTGGAATTCTACAGCTTCTCTATCATTTCATTACAATTAAAGGAAAAAAATCAACTGATTTTTAGAAAAAATTTCATTTTCAACTAAAATTTTAGTTTCTCAACAAAGCATGAATTTGGTTTCGATCACAAAATTCCCAAATTTCTTTCATTTAGCGAACAAAAGCCATCTGTCGAGATTCCGTTATTCGAAAGTAATTCCGTCGGAAAGATTTCCAAAATTTTCGTAAGAATAATTTCCGAAAAAACCAAAAGACCTTGAATTTCGAAACCATGTCCAAAGAAGTCAATTCAACAAACCGCTTCCAGAATAAAAACCAGGACAAAGAGAAATGGGCAGTAAAATAATCCACGAACCTTCTCATGACCGTCAAAATTTCATAGAAAATCAAATGCAATTTTTAGTTATTAATAATCTTGGTTCTAATTGGTGCTCATAAGCTAACGATTCTAATAATTAACAAACGAATTTTGATTACGGTTAACCAAAAGTAACCCAGATAAAAGGTCCAAAAAAGATTTTTTATGAGTCGAAAGAAAAGAAAAAAATTCATTCAGAAAGAATATGGTTGAATATATGGCGAGCCGTTGATGAGTAAGAACCGTAAAACCACATTAATTTATTCCATGAAATTTGAAAAATCATGAAGAAGGATAGAGGACTATTTTTTTGTGTTTGTTTGTTTGATAAAAAAAAATCATTTCCCAATAACAAAACCAAAAGAGTAAATAAAAAAAAAACATAAAAAACTGGTTAAATCGACATAATCAACAAGAAATCAATGAGCGTTCGAGCGAATGGGACGTAATATCAACCGTATTATGGATACGTCTAGATTTTGGATATGATCAGGGATTAGGGAAACCAAAAAAGGGATGAATACACGTTGAAAATACGCAGAGATATATGAATTTGTACGGAGAGAAAAATTTCCAGGAATGGACGAGCTCATTTGTGACCTTTAATTGTTTGCCATAAGGTGGGAATGGGAGAGCATACATTCTATCCTATTTTTAATACATTCAAATGATAAAAACGACCGTGCGACGAACGTATAAACGTTTTTTTATTTCATATTAATCTCTTTATTAGTTTTTTCTTATAATCTACATCGTTGTTTGCTAAAAAAATTTCATATAAATTTGAATTCCGCACTGTTATAATTCTTCTACTTTTACGTTCATTCATAACCTCTTGCAAAACTAAACTTAATGACTCAATTTACTTAAATAGTCAGATAATAAGGTATTCTTCGGTTCTTCCATTGTTGTCTATTGAATCAACTAATGAAAAGTTGAACGATCTCCTTATGACCTGGAAAATAATCGATTAATGAATTAGATTGAATTAAATTCTTTCCACACAAAAGTATTTAGAATTACCGTTTGCAGCAGCATGGTGAAGAGGTGTCATTCTCATAACACTTTCTGCAAATGACATTGACAAGGACGAGTCTTGACCCGAATTTTTGCAGGGTTGCTTTTCTTCAGAGCCTCGATCAGATTATTGACATTCAATTCGTAGTTCGGACAGATTTTTTCGACCATTAGCTCAATTTTTGGCCTCTTAAAATTGAATTTAGCGTTAAAACTTGATTTGAAAAGCGTTTGTTGTATTTCTATATCGATATCTTCCGTTGCATCTCCTGGGATTGCCATTTTCGCAACTTTTTCGAATCTTTCATCATTATTTTCTACAAGTTCGTTGCTACACAAATCAATGGCATTGATATGCACAATCCATTTGACTTCACTTTCATTCGTCTCGTCATAGTTCATTTTTTTCTTCTTTTCAGGCGTACTAGTCGTCACCGTAGATTCATACATTTGAGGATTTCCGATGTAATCATCTTCCACGTAGCCACTGGAAGAGAATACATTTTCGTTGCCTATCTTCAATTTATTCCCATTCAAAAGTCTCGTGACTATTTCCGCGTCAAAGAATTTCACACCATAATCTCTATCGATGAGTTCACTTAAGTTCATGATTGTTCCTTGGAAATTGACTTTCGTTCCGAGTACCACGTTTTGGGATTTGCAATCTAAATCTTTGAATAAAGTGGTGTCTTTTTCTTCTTGATAATCCAAATCTTTGGGTTTTGACTGGTCTTTTTTACCGATAATCCAATTCTCTGGGTTTTGACTGATCAAAATGATTTTTTTCTTTGATTCTATCCCATTTTCAGAACTACTCTTCTTTGATTCTATCTCTTTCAGAAGAGTCAGTAGCTCATCGAGTATGTCTTTGACTTGATCGTCAATTGAAATCAGCGTTTTTTCGTCCTCAAAATAGATTACCAAAAGGTGATGACTTTTACGATTTCTTAATGCGTCAAAAACAAACTGCTTTATTCGATCGTGTAATAGTTTTTTGAATGGAATTAAAATGAAACCGTCTTTATTCTTATAAATCCCATGCCTCTTCAGTATTTGACGCACTTTAATGGCGCTCAATAGTGTGGACTGAGTGCGAAGGTAAATAACTTGCCGTTCTTGTTGTTCTCCATTTAAAAATTTGTTTAAATTTTTTGAAAGTTCATCAAAATTTGACGATTCTTCATCGAAATGCATTTTATGTGCATCCAAATCCTCACAGTAGGCCATACTAAAGCCAGAGGCGAGTATACCATTGATTTCACTCAATAGTTCATCTTCAAAACGATTTGTTAAATAAACATTCTCTCCCTTCTTAGAATTCATAAGGTCCAGAATTCTTTCAATAAACGCAGAATTTGCTAAATCAACATTCCATAATTTGTTGCCACCTTTGAGTAAACTCTCATTATATTCCCTTAACTTCACTTCGTTCGGAAAATTGGTGACAAATCGAAACTTCTGCACAAATTCGGCAAAGCACTCTTCAAACGCAGTAGTACAGGACAAGTTTTTAGCACTCAGTTCAAACAATTTTTGAATTGCGGCAAATTGCGAAATATGTTTCGAGTTTTTAGGGATTTCCACTAAATTCTTGCGAATAAATAACTTGAGTTTATCATTTTTATCGGAAAATCGGTATCTATTCACGGCAAAATTCCTAAGATTCAAAATGTCGTTGTCATTCTCTTCAAAACTGTCCTCCATAAAAAGATCATTCCATTCCAGCGTTGGCTTGGGTTTTCCTTTAATAGTTGCTTCAAAATCAAAGTTTGCATTCGTAACCATAACAAAGTCTTTTAAGTTCTCCTTTTTGTATTTGTTCTCAAAATTCCGATTGATTAGAACAAAAGATAAAAAATATTTCGCAATACCGAATGGGGGCTTATCTATAATCTCTTCTAATTCGGAGCCTTTGATGGTAGCATTATCGTCGAGTTTGTGTTTTGTTTGAACAAAACTCCAATAGTGTTCATCGTTGTTTCCAACGATGTGGTCAAACACGACATCATCAAACTTATCTGCCGCATCCATTTCGCTTGCGAGCCGAAATTCGTAGCCCATTTTTTTCGCGCGCAGGGCATAAAGCTGGATAAGTCCAACCTGGAAAGAAAATCCATGCATATTTCTATTGGTTGAATCAAAGGTATCGTCAGTGACTTGACGCGCATTAAAACGGCTTGCGTTGGATCTCTCCATTTTTCTGTCGAGCTTTTCGATGACCAAGAGCAAAAACAATGTGTATTTTCAATGTCTGGAAATGCTCGCTCTCTTTTTTCACTCACAAAACAGTTTCTTTCAATATTCTCCAAATTGATTGTCTGCACACGACGTATGTGGTTAGCGAACGCAGTACAATTCTGTTCTCGTGATGACGATGACTCAAACGACTGGTGGTCGTGATGACTCAAACGTGGAAACAAGTTTCAAATTCAAATTATATTACTCATTTCCGTTCAACGTGCGCGCTGAACATAACTAAGCTGGATTTTATGCTGTGTTGATCGCACTCTCTCTCTCTATCTCCTCTTTCTGTGCGATATTTTGTCATTAGTTAAAAATGCTCTTTAAATTTCTTCAATCGAACGGTTGCTCATTCACAATTGTTCATTTTTTATATCGATTTTCAGAAAAAACATTTATTTTTCACTGCGGTTATATTTCACCATTCATATCAAGTGTTGGAGAAACACTTCTTTGCAACAACAAAGCCGTGCCGAATATTTTACGAAGATTATTTGGCTGTTCACACCCTTTTTTAAATTTCAAACTACTGTTTTATCGTTATAATTTATGTTGAGAATAGTGCTTTATTAGCAGCATAAAAAACGGTAGTAATTTCGAGTTAAATCACAACACCCTTTACAAGTCTTTTCAAACACACATTTCAATTAAATCATCATTCGATATGTAATGCTTATCATACTTTGGCAACGTTCTCTTAATGTATCAAAAACCGAAAACGTTTTATTATTTCCAGAAAAATTATTATCGAAACTATGTCTTTTATTCACACTCCGTTGCTACATCTGTCTATTTTATCAGTCTGAACTGTGTCCAATGTCTATGCCTGCACTTCGTATAGAACTACGGTCTTGTTGAATCGAATGAGTGGAGAATGAAGAAACTTAATAATCACAGTATGACACCATACATAACATGTAGATATGAATACACTCAAAATCTATTGTGTATGTGGATTGTGTTATTGCGGTTCCAAAACTATTTCGTTAATCTATTAAAAAAATTATTCCGGCGAAAAGAGCACATTTTTCAACACAAGAACGGAACAACCGATCACTATGATCGTGGTGCTGCGACTAGCAGTTGTGAAATTCATTTTTGATTGGAACGCTCCTCTGTATTTATCTGGAGAATTATGCGTGTGTAGAGAGGGGAGGGACGTTTTGAGAGTGAAAGTATTTGAGCAATTCATCGTGGTATAGAAGCATATAGACTCTACATATATGTGTGCTTACAATATACACACAGACACCGACTAACGTGATTTATTTTTATATGTATTTTTTTGTCACGATCGTCAACAACGAAGAAAACATGCAATTATCTGGCAAAGCAAAAATTCAACACACAAAATAATCGGTTTGTCAGATTTCAGATATTTGACATGAATGTCAGTTCATGTGAAATTTAAATGAATTTCACATAAACCGTGCCTATATCTAGGGGGATTTAACTACGTGAAAACTTGTAAAAAAATGATATAAA